AAAATATTTTCTACGTAGAGCTAAAAGCCTATGTACGAGGTCTGACAATTATGTTCGCAAACTCATCCTAGGAAGTGCTACATACCTCATTGCTGAATATCACTACGGTCATCTTCGAAGTACTCCCATTGGGAAGCTACGCACCGACGCCAGCGCCTAGTCCACCTTTCAAAGCAATTTTGGAACTCTTTTTCTGGAATGGCCACCAGAGCTGTTGTCATGTTACCCTTGATGTCCTGAATGTCATCAAAATGTATTCCTCTCAATATTGCCTCTATCTTTCGGTAAAGAAAGAAGTTACTGGGGGCCAGATCAGGTGAGTAGGAGGGTGTTCCAATACAGTTACTTGTTTACTGGCTAAAAACTCCTTCACAGACAGTGCTGTGTGAGCTGGTGCACTGTCATGAATTGTTGGCGAAAAGTTCAGGCTGTCTAACTTTTTCTCAAGGCCTTTTCAGCACTTTCAAATAGTAAACTAAGTTTAACTGTCCAGTTGGTACAAATTCATAATGAATAATCCCTGATATCAAATAAAGGTTAGCAACATTGTTGCAACAAGTTCGCGAACTTAATTGTCAGAATGTACTCACCACTGAAGAGCTGACTAAAAATCATTTGGCCATCTTCATGTCAATACTAGGAAGAAAAGGATTGGTACCATGGAAAAAATGCCAGTTTTGTATTCAGAAAATCTGGGTTCAAATCTTGACACGAGTAACATTCTTTAAGCTTATTTCATCATGTTATGAAAAAAAAAATCCTATCTTACAAGGTTGTAATAAGGATAAAACAAGATAAAGTGAAAGCCTCTAGGCAAGAGTGACTGCAGTTTTTTCAGTAAACATTTGTTCAGCAAACTACTCTAAAAACCCCACTTAAAACATTGTATTATAATTTACAGCTTAATTAACTACATTATGTTGGGAAATGTTGAATAAAGTACTGTTATAAAATTAACTCCCCCCATTATTCAGGCTTTGCAAGTTATTATATGAGGTATCTTTGAAGGTAAAGTCTATAGAACAGTTTGTCTTTTTTAGAGGAAAGTGACATGTAATAAAAAAATGTACAGGTCCAAGATTAATAAAAATCTCTCTCTCACACACACACACATACACAAAACCTGGGAACAGAGAATAAGAAGAGATATAAGGAACCAGGCTCACCTTAACCATATATACTAGGATACTAAAATTTTAAAGTCTTCCTGTGCATACTTGGTATCATAAATCCCAAGCTATCTTGAATTTTCAGGTTTCCAAGTTTTCCCTTTAACTGAGGACTTTTCAAAACAATTTTCTGGTAAGAGACAATATTAATTTCCAGACACATCGCAAACAAAATTCTCTTGGAAAAGAAAGCAATCTGGAATCTTGGGAAAGTTTTAATTCTCAACATAATTATAAATATGACCCCCCAAAAAAGTAATTTTATATCAACCTGCAAAAGCCTATGCTTTCACATATAAACTTTCAACGTTAAAGGTTCCTTGCAATCTTACATACTAAACAAAAAACAAGATATCAAGTACACTTATGCTACAAAGAAAGCAGAAAATTTGAATGACTTGGATGGTTTTCAGTAAGGGGGGAGAATCTCTGCAGAATATACCAAGATGAATTTCAAGAAATCTGGTTTCTAGTCTGGGCAAGTCAGTAAATTTCTGAACTTTCTCATCTTTTACAAGTAATAGCATTTTCTTCCTTCCTCACAAAGATGAGTCATGAAAGCACTCTGATAAGTTAAAGGTTCCATATACTACAATAACATCAATACTTATCAAGAAGAAGGTAAAATGATTATTGTGCAGAAAGGGGCAGAGTGATGAGCAGGACTTCATGAGAGAACTCTAGGTTTTATGCCCAATCTTGGCATCTACTAGTGTGTGATACAAGGCACTTCACTTGTGCAGGTCACCATTAAGTCCCTTGTAAAATGAAGTTGCCTACACATTTCTTTCAAGCTCCAAGGCTAATTTTATGCTATAAGTTTAGGGCCAGCCGAGTGGCTCAGTTGGTTAAGAGCTCACTCAAGAGTTTGAGCTCTGAGCAACAGCAGTTCGAGTCTAACCTGAGCTGAGCAGCCACTGAGCTGCCAACAGGTAGCAGGATGGCTCAGCTAAAAAAAAAAAAGTATCTAGACGATGCTATAAGTTTAAAGCCAAGGCCTAAGATATTTGAGCTCTCATTTATACACAGTAAGTCAGATGCCGTAAAAGTTAAGGATAACAATACTGTATGAACAAAACTACTTAGATATGTTACACATATCTATGGAAAACGCTGTTGAAGCTGATCAGTTCCATCATTCCCTTCATTTGGAAACTGGTGTCAAGCAGCCATTTCTAAATCTTCTTTAAATGCTTAAGTTAATACAAAAATGAATAATATTTACAATAAAAATGAAAACAGCAGAAAAACCTCAGAATTATATATAGGCTTAAGGGCAGAAACATACTCCAAAGATGTGCTGTTACTATTATTTTCCTACATGCTTTTGTTGTTTGTTGTAAACAAGGCCGATTATTCTGATATCAATGTCAATCAGTAATTTTTTGTTAAATGCCCTCTGGTACATAGATTCTTCAATTACACCTTGAAACAAAAGCACTTCCCTAAGACGACTTTTTATTGCAAAATTTAACAAACCACCAAACTCAAGTTTAATTATTTCTGCTTTATTATTGGTCATGAGTATATCAAAGACTTTAAAAAAATAGTTACACAGAGACTTTATCACTGAAATATATAATTAGAAACCAAGGTGCTTTGAAATTAATGTGAAAGTGACCCAAAAAAGCTTACAATATATTAACTTCATTCGTCAATTAGAATCAACAGAATTAAAATTGGTTTTAACAACATCTTAAGAAAAAAGTTGTGCAAAATTCCCCATGTCTCCAAAAACCGTATAGAATGTTCTTAATATACCAGGGGTGCCAAAAAAATGTATACAAGTGGACACTTTGGTCAACATTGCTCAAGCAGTTCGCCGTAATTAGAACTGTCTAGATGCAGATGGTAACCACTTTGAGCAACTCTTGTAATTGCAGAAGTCAAACGTGACTTGTATTCATCTTTTGTTATCGGTGTATATTGAGTATTACAATTTTAATACAATTTTCCTTTCTTAAAAATATGTATACATTTTTTTGGCACCCTCTGTATGTCTCCACCTGGTGGTATTAAAAATCCAGTGTTCAAGTAAAAAAAGTTCTGTTCCTGAGCCAATGTCTAAATCTGGACACACAAACTCAGGCAGATAAGTCACAATAATAAAGTCACCAAAACCTAGTGAACTGAAATTAAAAGGCAGAGAAAAATAAGTCTAATTTCACCACACAGTAATTTACTTCCAGAAGACAGATGAGCCAATCCAGATGAAACAAATCTTTATTATATTGTCTATTTAACCTGATCCTAAATAAAATATTCTACATAAATTAATGGGATACATCGGTCAATTTTTACGCTAAAAAAGAGTATGCACACTATAATCTGAAACATCTACTTAGACGCCTTGCCAAAAAGTTGGCAAAAGCCTTCCCGGTTTCGATGGTGAGTTATCAGAGACGCGGGTTGAAATTAGAAGGTAGAAAAGCAGTCAGGTAGTTAGCACTCTCCTCATGCCCAGCCAGATCGCAGGGTATGCAGTCCTTCCTATACCACCACCAGTTGGAGACGGATGGTCTAGTCAGGAGACAGAACGGTGTGGAACAAAACCCTTTCCGGGGTTCCAAACCTCTTTAGAGCTCTACGTCAAAATACTTCCGTTTCTCACAAAACTTGGAATGAAGAATGGGAAGCAACAACTGTTAAAACATTTTAAAACGAAACCTTTATCTATCTATCCAGAAAACACTATGCAAAGTAGCCAATTCCTTACATCGGAAACAGACATCACATTAAAATTACTACAGCTCTCCTTTTTAAGGCCACAACAGATTGAATTAAGCCACACCCCTCTATAAATGGCACATTCCATACAATAGCCAGGAGGGCGGTAAAGGGCGATTCCACTATCCGCTGGGGAACAGCAAACTTGTTGAAATTCTCAGAATAAAGTGTAATGGTTAACGGAATCTAGCCCCTTTATTATTAGTTATTCGGAGCAGAGAGGGTTACACAAACATCCGAGATGTGTACGCCAGCTGAGTAGAGAGCTAGCGGGAACGAGAACCACACGGGATTTGGGTCGTTCTGTTAACCCGCACCTCCCGGAGAAAGGACATATCCCCGAGGAAGGACATTTCTAGACGGAGGAAAAGGGCGAACTCGGGAGATTAACCCGCTCAGAACTCCGAGGTGGAGAAAAAGTGGCAATCATTATTTTCCAGGGCCCAGTTCCGAACTCTCACTTTTGCCAGAGAAGGGAAGGACGCGCCCCGCCCACGCCCGGCCCGATCTGGGAGGCGGGGCCCCGCAGCGACCCCCGAGGACGGAGGCGGGGTCTGGTGGCAGTGCTGCCCCACCCCCTCGGTGTGGAACACCCTGTTCTTGCAGGAGACAGCTGAGTGCCCCCAGGCTCCCAGGCAAGCAGAAGTGGTGGGGTCTACACGGGCGTCTCCGCCCCCTCAACACTTAAGGTGGGGTACCCAGCCCTAGTCCACTGGTGTCTTCCCCGCGAGCTCAAAGGGGACGGCTCCAAGTAGGTGGGGCCTGGGTGGGGGCGCTGACTTCACACCCCTCCCCCTCCGGCCGCTGACGGTTCAGGGAACACCCCGCCCGCTCCAGTGCGGCGGGTGGGGGAGGCAGTGAAGCAGCCCGAAGCCCTGCAGCGGCGCGGGGCGGGGAGGAGCGCGCATGGGCGCGTGGCCGCCACCCCCGCGCAGCCCCGCGCGCCAGCAAGGCCCCCTACGCTCAAGGGCGCGCGCGGGCCCCAAAAGGGAGGCCGCGCGTAGCGGAGAGAACTATCTAGGCTTGTGTCCCCCACTCCTTCACCACTCGAACCCCAGCCCCCCACCCCTCCAACCCGCTCCAGGCCTCAGACTCCGCACTGACCTGACAGGCCGAGACATGTTCGCTGTCGAAACAGGACCGAGTTGAGAAGCCAAAGACCAGGACCCCCCCCACCCCGCGCGCTCGGCGCCCCACCCCCCCCAACTTCGGCCGAGGGGGCCGCTGCCGCCGAACCCCGAGCTGCTGGCTTCTCAAACTCTGTCGCTCCTAGGTCCAGGGCCCCGTAATCAGACGAGCCCCCCGCTCCCCCGTCTCTTCAAAATGGATGAATCAAACCAGCCGAAAATGCGCCAAAGCCGCCGTGCAACTAAACACACTAGGGCTTATGGGCTCCGCCCCTACACGCCCAGTCATTGGCGGTTTCTGCCAGATGCGCCGAGCTCATTAGTCCGTTTGAATCATCACGTCTCCTACGCCCCGCCCCACTTTCTGATAGGCTCCGCCTCCTCCGTGGGGTCCTGTTAGTCAAGATGTTCTGAGAGCGCACGGCCGCAAAACAAAAATGGTTGCTGGTCGGCCCGCCCCCTGGTTTCTACTCCAGAGTTGCAGATTCGTCTTGGGTCGCATCTTGGAACCACTAGAAAAAAAGGTTTATATAGGGGTGAATGTCATTTAGTGTTAGTTTAATTATATTTCATTTCTCCTGCCTTAAACATCTAGAAACTCCACTAAGAGCAAAACCTGTGGGATAGGCAGCTGATTCGTCATTAAGAGGCTGCTTCAGAATTGGAGGGAAATTCCATAGGTTCAAAAATTTTGACCTTAAACCACAAACCCCTTCCCCTCGCTTTCGCATTAACCCTCAGGGGTCCAACCGCTGCTGGAGCTCAGAGGCAGGATCATACACAAGTAATAGCTTCACCCCCAATTTCCATTCTCCATTCTGGACCTTGAGGTCCACTTCAGGGTCATTAAAGTCCCTAACTCGGACATTACTTCGGGGGGCCTAATGATTAGGAGCATGAGCTCTGAGTCCACAAGATGTTTCAGTTTGAACCTCAGGTCCAAAACTTAATAGTTGTATAACTTGACCTCTCTGTTCCTCAGTTTACTCATATGTAAAATGGGGAACAATAGTACTTACTTATAGGGTTATTAGGATTAAACGAGTTGGTATGTGAAAAGCCTTTAGGACAGTCTCTGGCACACAGTAAGCGCTATATAAGTGCTTTAAATCGCTAAATTCAATTTTTAAAAGATGACCTGATCCTTGGGTAGAGGTAGGTGGGGCTGGCTCAAGACTTAAGTAAAATATTTTAGGGTACCTCAGATCATTCCATTGGAATCCATGAACATTTGTTGGATTCCTAAAACTCAGAGGCAGAGCTCAGGATTCCTATGGGAACAGCTACGGTTTGCCCCACCATTGTAAAAATAGACTTCAATCCCTACCACAGGCAGCCTGTTAATAACCAGCTGAAGATATATGCCATAAACAAACAAACCCATCACTATCTGCCCCCTGAAAATCTCCTTTGTAAAATCTGGGCACGCTAAGGTAAGAGAATAGATGCATAATGTAAATTAAGTGCATAGCTCAGTGGCATTAAGTATATTCACGTTGTGCAACCATCAATACCATTCATCTTCAGACTTTCTCATCAAATTCAACTGAAACACTAACCATTAAATACTAACTCCCCATTCCCCCTCTCCCTAGCACCTGGCACCTACCATTCTTCCTTCTGTCTTTATGAATTTGACTACTCTAGGAACCTCATATAAGTAGAATCAGATAGTATTTGTCCTTTGGTGATTGGCTTATTTCACTTACCATAATGTCTTCTAGGTTCATTCATGTTGTAGCATGTATCAAAATTTCCTACCTTTCAAAGGCTGAATAATATTTTATTGTATGTATATACCATATTTTGTTTACCCATTCAATTATCAGTGAAGACTTGGGTTGCTTCCAGATTTTGGCTATTGTGAATAATGCCGCTATGAACATGTGTGTACAAAATCTTTTTGAGCCCCTGCTTTCAATTATTTGTGGTATATACACAGAAGTGGAATTGCTACATCATATAATAATTCGATTTTTAATTTTTTGAGTAATCTGCACACTATATTCCATAGCAGTTGCACCATTTTACATTCCCACCAGCAGTACACAGGGTTCTGGTTTCTCTACATCTTTGCCAACATTTGTTACTCTGTTTTTTTTTTTTTAATAGTAGTCCTAATGGGTGTCTGAATATATTTTGACTAAGTGTATCGTCAGCCATATTATTGTCAAAATGCCAGTGCAGAGACCAAGGTGGTGCAGTGATCATGAGTGATTTTGTTGGAGGCTGTTTTATTAGGGCAGATTGCTATTATTTTCACAAATACTATTATTTGGTATTGTGAGATGAAGCAGAGGAATTCTTGTTACTCATTTATTAGGTAATGAAAGGAACTGGCCATTGTCAACATGTCCAGGCAGGCGGAAAGTTCAGCACAGGTCTTCCAGGCCTCGGCCTTATAGTTTAGTTCAAGGCCAATATACAGAAGTCCACTGAATGAAGGCTCTCCCTCTTGCAAGGTGAGGGTCATATCCTTTCTCCTCACTTCAGCTTCAGTTAACATCTTCCCTCTATTTGTTTATCTGTTCAGTATTTCAACAAACACTGTCTCTTAGGAAGGAAGTAACTTAAACTTCTAGTTTACTTTTTAGTAAGGAATTATGCCTGCAAGAGCCCTAGCATTGTCTCCCTCGCTGCCAAGAGAATTTGAAATGCAGTCTCTAAGGTGAGTTCCCTGTAGTCCATCCTCAAACCATCTGCCTGGGGCACCTGTCCTACCACAACCAGATTGTTGGAAACTGAAGAAAGATACTGGTCATCTGATAAGTTAGATTTTTAGAAGGGACATGTACATAATATAACTATGAAAAATCATGAAAACAAAAAAGTCTCAGGAGACAGAAAAGTCAGTTATTCCTTTTCCCTGGAAATGAGATTTAATGGCCATTTAAACCCAATGCTTAATTTCTCCTGTGATATTAGTTATATTTTGAGAAGTAGCCTTTTCCTTCTCCCCTGTATATGTTAAAAGACAGTAAGAAGTGACAGTGCTGGAGTGGTAGGACTGATGACTCCTCCTCCCTGTCCCTAACAAAGACCCATTTTCTTCAAGACTACACTATAGTAGCTGAGAGCTTTATAAAAATGTTTGAGAATTTACTGTGTGCTGGGCACTTCCAGTTCTGGGACCTCATAAAAGTCAGCCAACCAGGTCTACAGACAGACAGACACTGCTTCTGCTGACCACAGGAACACAGTCACCTCTTTTTGAAGACCCTGCCAAGCGTTAAAGAAATCTTCTCCTAGGCTTTTTTTTTTTTAACTTTTACCTCCAACCTGGCGACTCCTTCTGCCCCACCATACTCAGAAGAAAGGAAGGGACAGAGGAGCTGTGTGTCTAGTCAGCATTTCTGCAACCCCAGAGGCTGAGGAGCCTGCCTGGAGATAGATTCATGGTTAAGAAGGATGCTCCCTTGCCTTCAGGTCACAGCCAGATGAAGGTTGGGCCAAAATCAATTAAAATTTTAAATTCATTTTCTCAATTATATATTTCTTGAGCTGTAGACTTCCATCTTCCTCTCTACTTTTATGAATGGTAAGAGCTAAGTTTAGGTGGATTTTTGCTGCAAAAACAAAAAAGATACACAACTTGACATCTAATTTAAATTGAAGGGAAAAACCCCCAAAAGACTAACATTTGTTTGCTTGACACCAATAAAATCCATAGAAAACTTGCTCTTGTAACATTGAAGGAGACACACCCTTATCCATCGAAACCATTGACAAATATTGTGAAGTGAACATTGCTGAAAGGGTTTCCCCAAGGTGTAACAAAAAGAGCACTTAACCTTGTAATCAAGAATATCTGCCTCTTAGGGCTGGCTGAGTGGCTCAGTTGGTTAAGAGCTCGCTCAAGAGCTTGAGCCACTGAGCAACAGTGGTTCGAGTCCAGCCCGAGCTGAGCAGCAGCTAAGCTGCCAACAGGTGGCAGGATGGCTCAGCTAAAAAAAAAAAAAAAAGAATATCTGCCTCTGAGCACTGTGATTTATTACCAAGGTGACCTTTGGCAAATTTCAAACTCCTCAGCCTCAGCTCCTTCAAGTATAAAATGGGATAGGTCCTTACCTACTTCACAAGGTTCACATAATGACAAGAAAAAAATGGGCTCACTTTTTAGCTTGTACACTGTGAAGCACTGTGGCAAGCAGAATAGATTATATTGTCTTCACTGAAAGAAAAGTCACCAAATCCAACAGATGGTTTATTCCTCCAATAGAACACAACCATCCTTAAGCCCTGGGAACAGAGTTCACAAAGACTGCCCACAGCCAGAGAAAAGGCAACAGTGAGAATGATAATAGTCATCTTTAAGCACTGTGAATGTCCAAGGTGTTGTCACGCTCCACTATCTCCTGACTGTCCCTGGGAAATTGATCTATTCCAGCCATACCCAGTATAGGCATGAGTCCACCAACTATTGCCAGCCTCTCTGCCTCTCTCTCAGTTCCAGCCCAGTATCCTGACTGCTTAAGAGGCATCTCCATGTGGATGCCCATAGGCTCAATTTATCTATGCAAAACAAATCATCTCCCCTACCTGCACTTTTCTTCTCTCCTGTTTTTAGTACAGACAATGCTACCTTCCTAAAGCATGGTGCTCAATCCGTCCATATAGCTTCCATAATAAAGTCTAAACACTTTATACTAGCATTTAAGCTACTACCAGAGGGATTTCTCAAGCACAAGTCCAATATCACTGCTTAAAATTTCTCCATGAACTGGGGAAGATATTTGCAATATGTATGACAAATGGTTAATATCTTTAATATATGAGTACAAAGAGCTTTTACAAAACTACTAAGAAAAAAGCAACAAAATAAAAAGACATAGGATACAAATAGGTGATTAATACAATAAAATTGACTAATACATTAAAAAATACACTCACTCATAACAAAAGAAAAAATAGTTTGAAAAAAGTTTCACTTCTCAAATTGGTAAAGGTTGAAAACAGTCTTGCTAAGGATATGGGTAAACTGGCCCCTCAGGCCCAATTGGTGGGAGGGTATATTGGTACAAACATTTTGGTGGGAAATTTTGACACATATTTAAACTTAAAGTGTGTATACTCTTTGACATACTTCTAGGGATTCCTAAAGAAGTTTTCACATAAGTTTATAAATAAATAAAGATGTTAGTTTGTGGCATCAAGAGAGGAAAAAGAAACAACCCAAACATCCATTAATAGGTAACTGGTTTCATAAATTATAATACATTCATACAATCTTAT